CTAAAGGAGACGGTGGAAGAAAAGAAGACCCCAAATTAATATCTGGTGAGGCAAAAGACTGATTTAGTATGCTAAGCAGCACTGTGCCCTTATCTTCACCAACTTTATGGTCAGGATGGAAAGTTCAGGTGTCTATGGATAGATAGTCACACCAAACACAGAAATGTGCAGGTACTGGGGGCATGAGTGTCCAAAACTTTTGGCCAACAACTGTTACCATACAGGAGAAAGTGGCTGAAGAGCTTTTCGGTTTTTACTATAGAATCTTTTCTTTTTAGATTTGGTTACCTTTCCATCTATGTTCCCTATTCACTCCTGCTTACTAGTAATTACTATATCTGAATCTTTCCCTTGTAATACCTATAACCACCATGGTCAGACACAGACAGATCACTGAGGGCAGAAGCTGCTTCTTTCTTGATGTTAAGGGGAATCACAAAGAAACTACTGGAAGCCTATATTGGATTTGAAGAAATGGAGTGAAGGATGCTCTTCCCTGTTCTCTCACTGACCGGACAGGGTGAGGTGGGGCACTTGAACCTCTCCATATGTTTAGCAATTCCCTGTGCAGTTATTCAGTTTACACTGAGTTAAGGCTAAGACTGTCTTAACTCAATCCCCTTTTTCTCTGCTCCCTGGATGGCATGCTCTTTGGGTTGTGTTTCCTCTGATATGTCCTAAGCACCCAGAACAGTGCCTGGTAGACAGGAAGTGCTTGATAAGTATTTGTGAAATGAATCAATCTGATTGGGCTTTGAAAAATGGGCAACGCTAAAGCTGGGCAAATAATAATTGTACTTTCATACAACGCTTTCCAGCTGATGAGCTCCTCTGTGCCTCAGCAATTCTGGGAAGTCAAAAAAGCAGAGGCAAATGGCTCATCTGTGACAGCGGAGCACAAAACTCTGAGCCCAGCAAGTCTGCTGGCAGCCTGGGGCAGTGTTTCCAAGATGTGAGGAGGGATGAAGTTCTCTCTGGGATTTAAACTTTAAGGTAGTATGTTCATGAATCAGAACACAGACTTGCCAAGACGGAAGAGCACTGTGGGGGAGAGACCGTAGGGGGGAAGAAGGGGTGATTAATTGTGATAATACTTCAGGGTCCTGGCAGGAGTAGGAAAATGTCAGAAAGCCACTTGAAATGTTCATTTCAGTTTTTAAAGTGTTTCCAGTTTCTTTGTCACAGCCAACCCCATTGTGAAATGCTAGGCCAAGTGATCTGAGCTTTATGCCATTCAAATCTTTATCTCTACCGTGTTTGATTATTTTCTTATGAAACAAACTTCTGACTACACTCTGGTAACCCCAACCAGCTGATGGTATGTGGCTATGTCACAATTAAAATAGATTTTTTTTTTAAAGTCATGACATAGATAAATATCATAGGTCTTCCCACTGTGTTCCCTCCGTTCATTCTGCTTTTAGCCTAATAGTTGTGGAACTCAGGGTGAGCTCCTGAGCCTGCTGATAACACCCTGATTTGTATGGCTTTACCCCTGTGCAAAATATGCAAGGAATTTTTAGCAGTTACCCTAAGTTTGCTAACAAAGAAAGGGTTCTTAGAGGCTCTCACATGCTGAAAGTCTATAAACTCATGAACTCTAGTTTCAAAACTGTAGAAAGAGCACAGCTTGGGGCGAGGGGAAGAATATAAATAGAGCACAGCTCTGTGTTCTTATTTCTTTGTCGTTCAGAAATTGCGGTCCTTAAGCCAGTAATGTGCAAACAGAATTAAAAAGAACAAGAAAGTGAAAGGAAGAGAGAGAAACGGAAGGGAAGGGGAAGGGAGGGGAAATGAGAAAGGGAAGGAAGGGGGAAAGGGAAAGGGGAGGGGAGGAAAATAAAAAGGGAAGGAAAATTATGAACGGATAGGAAAGGAAAGGGAAAGGAAGAGAAAGGCAAAGAGGGAGAAGGAGAGGGGAAAAAATGATGAGAGGGAAGGGAAGGGTAATTATAGCTCCACAAGGAACAGCAAAACAAAACAAAAACTTAGATCTCAAATTCCAACCAATGAAAGGTGTTTTAAGTAAACACAGAGGAGGCAATTTGGCAACTTGATTGATATGTCAATGTCATAAGTAAAACAGCCAGGTATGGTGGCTCGTGCCTAGACTCCCAGAACTTTAATAAGAAGCTGGAGCAAAAGAGCACTTGAGCCCAGGAGTTGGAGACCAGCCTGGCTGGCATGGGGAGACCCAATTTCTACCAAGAAAAAAAAAAAAAACTAGTCAGGTTTGGTGGCACTTGCTTATAGTCCCAGTTCCTCAGAAGGCTGAGGCAGGAGTATTCCAAGTTATAGTGAGCTATGGTCAGGCCACTGCACTCCAGCCGCTCCAGCCTGGGCCACACACAGTGTAAGGCACTGTCTCAAAAATAAAAAAGTAAAATAAAGTTAAAATTAATCATGACTTCTAGAATAAAGCAATTTTTTTCTACATTAGTTGAAGGAAATATTTCAAAAGATATGAACCTCTGATCAGAAGCTTCATTCCTATAACTGAAAGCCGTATTCTCTCAAAATTAGTTTAACTGCATTGCACATAACATGGTTCCACAAAGACGCGAACACACGTGGGCTTGGCTGGCCCTTTGGAGCAGTCGGGGATGGCACTCAGCACGCAGAGGAGAGTTTGCTTCCTTGAGGTTTAGGTTTCTACAATAATGCCAGCTGGATCCTGGAACTAACTCGGCAAATACGCGATATTCCTAAATTACATTAGAATATCCCAATTAGAGAACAGAGATTCAAATCCAAAACAATATTTTAAGGAAATTAAACATCTAATCTGAGTCAAGTGGCTTCTTTAGGAAATACCCTGGTGTGAGTCCTATCCGTTTCTTGGCAGAGGCGTGTTTTGGCAGACAGGAGGGTGGTAACTGCCCAATGCTCAATGGCTCCTTCAGATTGAAATCAGATGTATGCAACGTTCTCGGTTTAAACTGATTAAACACACAGACTAAACCAGGTAATTACAAATGTATGTGCCGGGAAGTGGGACAAGAAGACAGAATGGGGGACTTCTTTATTTTTTAAAGTGTTTTCAAAGATGGGAACAATTTTACAAATAAAAAGGTGGAATTATGCCAAATACAGAAACAGATGTTCTGGGTCGCGAAGCTGCTGGGAATTGAGCCTTCTTGCCTAGCGTTGCCTGGTTCTGATCCAGGATTTAAGGGGTCTGGCTAGTTTTACCTCTAGTTTCATCCTTAAGTTGTTCAGTCCTATTCATTTACCACCCACCACCGGGACAAAAACAGCCTTCAGCTGTAGGAACGTACAACAAAGAGCAATTGAAATGATCTAGGCTACAAAAAAATCTGCAAACTTTCATTTCTCTTGACACTACACTGCCATGAATGTGTAGGGAACTTCAGTGAATGTTCGACTCAGAAAAACCTCAAAGTGTGTGTTCCTTTTCAAAAGCTTATTTGAAAACAAAGTAATTTAGCATTTAGACAATATAGAATTTATCTATTCAATTTCCTGTTAGCTAATCCATACCTGCAAGACGGATGCCTGACCAGTGACACATAGTCCCCACACAGTTGCAATTCTGGGAACAGCGGAAGGTCCTGGATTTTCTGAGTGCTCCAGTTTGGATGGGTTTTAGTTTCTATGCTTCCTGCTGTTTACAAAGGTAGAAACTACGAATTGTGTCTAACGCCCACAAGTGTATGCGTTAGTGGAGGGGAAGGTAGTCAATGGTTAAAATTAATTACATGTTTCAATGTGTACTTTTTTATATTCAGGCTAGTATTTCCTGATGGTTTTTTATTTGTTTATTTTATTTATTTATTTTTAATAACTGAGCTTTTATTTCAGGGCTTTCAGGAGTGATTCTTTTTTCTACTTTTTTAAAAATTTTTATTTCAGATTGATAGGAGGGTACAAATGATTAGGTTACACTTTTGCGTTTCTAAGGTAAAGTTTAAATTATAATTGAGCCCTTCACCTAGGGGATGTGCTGTGTACCCTTCCATTGTGCACTTTTGGTGAGAACTTACCAATGTCCCTCTCTCCTTCTCCTCCTCCCCGCTCCTCCCCACTCTCAGGAGTGATTCTAGTGACTGAAGTTAGTACAACACTATAGAAAGCCCACAAAGAGCCATCTGATAGCAAACTTCATTCCCAAAGCTTGTGGCACTTTATAGTAATTCCTTTATTTATAATAAAGTGTTCCCTTTCCAGCCTAAAGGATGTTTTCCTCCCTCTCTGAAAAATAAGAACAAGCCAAATGACCAAAGTTAGTCTGCGAGTCAAATAAAGAACGTGAGGCTGATTACAAACTTCCCCTTTGCTCAACGGAGTCAATACAGCTTTGCTCAATGGAGTCAATACAAGGCTCTATAGGGAAGTGGAGATGATGGACTAAGGTTTTTGAATGCCAAAATGGGTATAAAAGACTTTTGACACTTTGTTCCATATCAACAATTTTCTTTGTCCTTAAGAATAATTTCCTTTATCTTATTTTAGATACAGAGATAAAGGTCTGTATGTCCTCCCAGCAAAATATGTCCCTTCTGGTATTTACTACTGAGTGTTCTTTTTCTGAGAGACAAAGTATTTTCTCCTGCACTGATTTTAAGTTTCTCCAGGTCTCCTATAGGCATTAATAACTTCCTCAAAGTACTTGCACACAATTGATGCTTAATAAATTTAAATAAAATGATTACCATTAAAACTTCCAAAATATAAAGAACTCTACGGACCGTAACATGCTGACTTCAATTCACACTAAGATCACAGCATCTTATACGTGCATTCCACTTGACAGTTTAAACGCATTTTCAAACATTTTGCAGTGTTGGAAACTGAGGTGCCCAAAGAAATAACTTTCTCAGTAAACTACTCGCCCAAAGTCACAAAGATATAAAATTACCTAACTAAGGTTTCATTCACCCGGATGATTTGGACTACACATCAAATACTCTTCCCGAAATGTCATGCTTTGTGGATCTCAGATCTTTTCTCAGATCCCACTGTTGCAGGAACAGAGTAAA